TTTATAAAAATGGAGAGTTTTTTTCTCCTTTCTAATGGTATTTTTATTAAGGATTTTCACATATTAATATTTTAACTGATAGTTTGCACCATCATGGGTAGAATTAGCATCTCCTGTCACTGTACTTGAACACAAATGTCCTAAGAGTCTCTGTTATCTGAAATTAGTCTCTACTCTCTGTATGGTTGTTGCTGGCTTACTGAAACAGTATGTAAATCCTATGGTTTCAACTTTATCACACAGTGATTCCATTCTTCCACTGTGACCAAAAGTACCTGACTGCTGATCATATTTTCTGTATTCGTTTCACCTTTCCTCCTAATCTCTGTTAGGTTCTGAGCTCATGCCCAAAGCGCTCTCCACCAGGATAGTGGGAGGCATTTGGTGGTTTTTCACACTTATCATCATTTCTTCGTATACTGCTAACTTAGCCGCCTTTCTGACAGTGGAGCGCATGGAATCTCCCATTGACTCTGCTGATGATTTAGCAAAACAAACGAAGATCGAGTATGGAGCTGTGGAGGACGGAGCCACCATGACTTTCTTCAAGGTAAGACTTTTGGTTCCCAAAACATGTGTATTAAAGTGGTATAGCACAAACGAACCTTTCTCTTCATGAATGTAAGGGCATAGTAACATATTGTGCAGAAGGATCAATAGGATCAATAGAATACATCTCAGGGAGTGGAGAAGTTTACAACTAAATATATGCCCATGCAAGACAGAATATTTTAATACTTGAAAATGGTAAAGAGTTTTTGCTTTACAGGTATTCTTTTCTTGTTTGGAGGAAAATCAGCTCAAAGGTAACATGATTTTTTTTAATGGTTTTCTTTTTTTAATTTTAAACAATAATGCATTTCTTAAAAATTGCACAATAAAAGATTCAGATTCTACGAGACTTGGCTATTCCAGAAGAATAGAATATTGTATGTAAGAATGCCTCCCATGGATTTCTTTCTGTTGAGAAGAGGCAGTGAGAAACCTACAGAAAAAAGAGAGAATAAGCGTTTTAGGAAAAAAAAGAAAAGATCTCTGGTGTCACAGTGGATAAGTATGGCTGCTAGCAGAAAGGTCATTGGTTCGAACCCACTAGCCACCCTGCGGGAGAAAAATGTGGTAGTCTGCTCCCGTCTGTAAAGATTTCTGGCTTTGAAGTGATGGGACACTTCTACTCTGTCCTAGAGGGTAACTATGAGTCAGAATCAGCTTGATGGCAACAGGTATAGAAAAAAAAGAGAAACAGTTTTTATTATCTGTACATTCATCCATTTCATATTATGGGAAACTCAGTGTCTTAAAATGGGCTATAACTTTGACCTTGCAGTGGTTTCCAGAGGGAAAGCCTGGTGGAGCATTTAAATGAAGAGTGTCCTTGCACCGATTTCCTGGTATACATAATGCTTTTTCTTCCTCTTCACGCTCTAGTCTCAATTCTGCTCATTCACTGGACCAGAATATTCCAGATAGGAGGTTCCCCTTTAGGGAGTATCACTTAGTAATTCCTTTTGTATTTTAGTAAGTATTTTAATATGTTTTATTATTATTATTATTATTACTGGGAAACTCATTAAGCATAGATTGTTTCTTTCAATGCACACAAAAATGCAACTGGCAGTTGAAATGTACAGTAGAAGTGGTAAAGATTTTCTTTTTAATTAATCAACTCAAGCTCTAAAATAAATTATTTCATCAAGTATTAATTGAATGCTTAATGAGTACCAGATTTAGCACTACACATTTGGCATTCTGTAGCAAATGAGATCTAATGCTCACTTTCAAGGCGATTGTATTTTAGTTCAGGAATCTTAGTGGCACAATGTTTAAGGACTTGACTGATAAATGAAAGGTCGAAAATTCAAACCCACTCAATGGCTCTGCAGGACAAAGACCTAGTGAGACCTGGTGATCTGTTCCCATAAAGATTACAGCCTGGGACACTCTATGGGGAAGTGCTACTTTGTTACTGCTTACAGCATGGTTGCTGTGAATCAAACTCTACTGAACAGCACCTAACAACAACAACAACATAGTTTAGTTTGAGACCAAGCAGACTAAAACAACAAATGAAACATTGGGTTTTCTGTGAATTAAAACAATTTTACCAAATAATTATGCAATTTTCTTAATTAAAATTCTTATAAAAATAAACAAATTTTTTTTAGGGGGGACCAAAGTTTCAAGGAATGAGTAATAAAATTGATAGATACATTACTCACAAGAATATAAAAAAATAATACAAGTGTTTTATAAAAATGGAGAGTTTTTTTCTCCTTTCTAATGGTATTTTTATTAAGGATTTTCACAT